GCCATAGCGGAAAGCGCGATGAATAATTCTCTGTTAAATCAAAACGAGATCCAAGACACCAAAAATGTTTTATGATGTTATTAACTGTGTATTCATTGTTATGTAATTTAATATTTTATACTGTTTTATGGTTTTATTTGGCATTATGCCCTGTTAGCTGCCCTGAGCCTTCGGGGAGGGCGGGATAAAAATCTAAATAATAAATAAAAATAATAAAATAATAAAATAAGACATACACCATGGGGAGGATGTCATAGCGGAAAGAGCCTTAAAGCTTGATGTGTCCATGAGACAAAATAATCTGAAAAATCATGGTCTAGATGAGAAGGTGGCAGACTCTGTCGATCTTTCCACCTTCCTCTCAAAATGGCTGTCTCATGAAGTCCCAACTGAGGGAGATATTTTGCCGATAGTAACAAAAGTGTACAGACTGGGTTCTTTAACTACACTTAAAACTAAACCATCTAGGGATATCCTAATGACAGTGTTGGACATACGGTTTTAAAACAAGATTCTACAATCGGAGAGACAAAAAGGTCATCTTAGTTATAAGGGCGCGAAAATTGAGGTGTACTAAGATTTGCCGCCGGAGGCACTTGAAAAACGGAGGGAACTGAAACCCATCACAGCATGTCTAATTGAAGCAAATTGCCGTTATAAATGGGTATCACCATTTATTTTGCAACTCTCGCATCAAGGAAAAAGCTACTGTATTACCTCACTGGAAGAAGGGAGATCCCTACTACGCACGCTAAACCTGGAAATACCTATGGATGTTTCGTTGAAATCACAGAAGACTAGAATCATCATCCCCACCACCAACGGATCCAAATAAGATTGTGCATTCGGATCCATGATCGTTTGGAACACCAGAGACTTTAGATGCTTCCAAACTAGATTCAGTCTTTTGGCTAGGTTTCTGATTTTTATGTATGCTATCTGCTATCTGTTGTGGAAATATGTTATACAAAATTGCTAAAGAGTAAATGTTCAATTAATATAGCTTTATAAATGAGGTATTGCTTTGTTTTAAAGGTATGCTTTTAATATTTGGATATACCTTCGCAAAATCTCATGAAGCCTTCGTTAGTTCGTGATAATTTGTTGCAGTTATAATGTTCTTTTATTATTGGAAATAAGCTAACTAAATAAATTAGGTTTTTTATTGGCAAGTTCTGTTAAAATCTTGTAGATGGCGGCTATAAGACCCTTAACTTTGCTATTTGTGGCTAAGAATCTTTCAAATGTTGTGGGTGGCTTTTTAATAGTACTATTGTTGTTAGGAGATCCAATCAAATGTTGTAGCTGGAGATATTCAAACCATGGTAGATTAACCTCGCCCTTCTTTTCCAGTTCAATTTTTAGTAGAATTTTTCCATTGCGAACAACATCGATGAGCCTCGTAAGGCCTACTGCTTTCCAGGTGGCGAAGGAGTTGCTTTCTTTTGCTGGTGGGAACCAGTTTTGACCCGTAAATGTGCGCAGCATTGACCATTTATTAATAAGTTTATCGCTGTAAATACGCCACATTGATATTGGAGTTTTGAAAAAGGGTTTTTTGGAAAGCATGCAGATCCTTGGCATTGAATCTGACCACATCAATTCCTTGAAAGTTTGGGACTGGATTTGGGTTTCTCTTTCTTTGATATAAGCCCAGTCTAAGTTGTCCACATTGTGATATTGTATAACTAGGTTTGATAGCATTGTTGCTGAATGATATGTATAAAGGTCAGGGAGAGCTATTCCTCCTTTCTGGATTCGACATCGTAATGTGGAAGTGCTGATCCGAGGGTATTTATATGACCATAGAAATGCATTGATTGAGTGCTGCCATTTCAGAAAATTTGTGCGAGGTATGGTAACTGGGAGTGCTCTGAAACAGTATAAATACTTTGGAAGTATGAATGATTTAATAGTGTTGATTCTATCTGCCCATGACAGAAATTTAATGTCCCATTTTTTCATCTGGTCATGCACCTCATTTGCTATAGCCATGTGATTGTCGTTCCTCACAGTGACCTCACAGTGACAAATGCAGTTTGGTGACACCTTCCTAAAAACCATTACAGCAACATACTCATCACCCTCAGCTTACCTATTAATCAACGGTCAAACATCTCAGCAAATCAACCTACACCGCAGGAAGAGACAAGGCTGTCCACGATTGCTGCTGTTATTTGCCATAGTAATGGAACCCCTGGCCAGTGATCTACGCAGCAACCCCACTTATACTGGAATCCAAATTGGAGAGAGAGAATTTAAGCTCAGCCTTCTTGCAGACGACCTAGTCCTTTATATTACCAACCCGCAAGCATCTTTAGAGTCAATTCATACCACCCTGTTTTGGTTTGGCAACATCTCCGGTCTAAGAGTTAGTCAAGCTAAATCTCTACTGTACCCCATCTACCTATCAGAAAGCACAGAGCAACAAATCAAACTTTGCTATGCCTTTCAATGAACCACAAAATTTTGGCAATATCTTGGAATCAAAATTCCGGTCAACCTTTCTGATTTACTCCAGGAATATTCTGAGTTAGTAGCAATTATCACAGCTTAAACAGTATGGGTATTTAAAATTAGATTTGCTGTAGTGATCACTTGTTTGAAGTAATCCATTGGGAAATATGTCCTCTGTTTTGCTTTTCAAAATATTAGGGGAAACCCTCCAGTTCTGGAGTTCCACAAATACATACTTGCTAAGAGACCAGTTTTTGCAAATAGCAACTGGCTAACATGGCAGTTGGCACTGTCTGAAATTGGACAAAAACAAAGGCTTCTCTAACTTTATGGAAAGTGACATGAGACAAATAGAGCCCTGGTGTAGTCCACTTTGAGCAGTTTAAACCAATGAGAATACCTGGAGCTAGCAAAGTCAGTTTGCTGTATTTCTGTGTTGATTTTTTATCTTTTAAAAGATATTATTTAGGAGCTGTATCTGCAAAGGCCTGTGGGAAGTGGCTACTTCTCCAGATATCTGCTGGAGGTGATTTGCAACAAAATAAAAATAATGGTGATAAAATCCATTAAAAGTTAATTCCAAAACAATCATCCTATACAACACTATAGTTTAAAATACCTTAAAACCACACCACATAAAGTGACAACTTAACCACTACAAAGCCAACCTTTCCTCATGTGTGTGTATATATACACACAAGCAGGAACTTACAAGGACTTGTGTGGGGGGGGTGAATTTCCCTCTCCTCCACTATCTCTACCTTTCCCTTTCTTGAAAGCCCCCATAGCTTTTTCCCCTTTCCTGCTTCCTCTCCTTTGCATCCACCAGCCACCCTACCTTTATCTTCTCCCCATCTTTTTCACCCTACCATACCTTATTAGACAATCCCCCTTCTTTCTCACCACCTTGGGAGCTGCCCCTGGGAGCCATAATGGTTGGATTAGTGCCCCTGGGAACCACCAGAGCGGCCTGCTTGTCAGGAGCAGTGGTGGCTGCAGTAGGCCCCCTGAGAGCCTCTGTGACACCCACATGCTTCCGAGAGCTGCCATGTCTCCCACAGGACCCCCAAGAGCTACCACACTGGATGCAGAGCCACTAGGTGACAGGTAAGTCATCTGCCCGTGCGCAGACACCTTTTGTGTTTTGGGGGAGATTTAAACTCCCCAATGTATTTTTTAAACGTTTTTTTCCCCCCCCCCCCCCCCGCAAACCAGGGGATTCCCTCCAGTTTGCAGAACTGTCTTTTTTGGGTAGGCATGGCCCCAATCTGCAGGTTTATGTATCCACAGATGAGCCTACTGTTTTGCTATTAGATATACAGATGACGATGATTAAAGCAAAATCAACAAAGCTTAAAACCATTTTTTTTTTAAATCTCCATGTAAAAAGAGAACTCCGCAATTGAATCAGGGAGGATAAAAACTAACTAAAAGCCAAGGGAAATACAACTATTTACCCAGCAGCACTCGAAATACCATAAATTAGGCACTCCATAAATGAGGCATCATTGCAGAAAAAGCTCCATCTCTAGCTGTGACACAGCCCACTTCAGAGAGTAGGGACTCAGAAAGCCAGGCTTGAGGCAGGACTCGTGGTCAGGTCACTATGGGAAAGGCGTAGGGGGACCCAACTAATGTGGCAGATGGGGCGTCTCCTGGTGGCGTTTCATCACACAATACGGCAACATCACATCTTGTCATGTAACCAGAAGTGATGTCACGCTTCACTGCAGCGTAGTAGCAATCCCCCAAATCTCTACAGTAAAATCATAGAGACTGGGGGATTGCTAGAATGTTGCATGTGATGTTACTTTCAATTACATGAACTGAAGTGACATCATGGCATCATGTGTCATCTAGCCCCACCCCTGAAAGTTCCCCAGGGTGGTCTTTCATGTATCCTTAAAAGATTCAAAATGACGCTTCGAATTGTTTCCAGGAGCAAACTGGTAGCCAATGAAATTGTTTCAGTACACCCATCAGTAATTCAGTAGTCACAATGCCAGCTTGATGTAAGGAGGATGCCTGGGAAGTTCAGCCTGAATGTCCTAAAATTTCAAACTTCAAAAGACACCGTGAGAACCGCAAAGCTTGCATTCCAAATACTAGATCAGCTATACTTAGTGGTTCAGAAGTCCCATGCAAATCTTGACATGTCACCTGTGGCTCTTCTAAGGACCCAAAGTGGCACTATTTTAGCTCAGCCTCTTAGCCCTGCCCCCTAGCCATGTCCTTTCTGTTTCTTGACAGCTTCAACCATACACACTTCACCATGTGTGCCTGTTTGCCCCCCCCACCCAGCGTCCTGCCTTCCCTCCTCTGCACTAGTTGCTCACGAGCCAGATAAGGGCCCTGGACAAGCTGGTTCTGCTCCCCAGGCCATATGTTTGAAACCCCTGTGTGTACTAGATTATTCTGTTGCTAAGATGTACAATTGAGACTGAGCTTAGATACTTTGCAGACGTCATACACCGGAAACAGATGCAACATTCCATTAAATATACTTCCTCAATTTCTTGCAAACTCTTTCTTCAAGACAACTTCTTTGTCATAACCGCAATTTTGCAGATCTAAGCAACGGCTCCAATCTTATTTAAAATGCTGACATTTATAGTCATTGGGTGTCTCCTGACAGCACAGAGTAAGACCTTTCTTATATGGTGTCTCTTTTCCAAAATGCTGCATTCGATTAACCTAATTCAAGGTACATTTCCCTCCGCCTTTCAGTTCAGTCATCTCTATCAGATGAAGAAGAGGATGAGCATGATGAAGATGGTAAGTTTCCGCAGGCAGCTGGCTGCGTGCTCAATGCAACCAAGATTTTTTGTTTGGGTGGTTTCTTTGAGGTGGGTCTGGATTAATGAAAAGACATTTTTATTAAGTTATAAACCAGTTGCACTCTCTCTGCAAAAGTCTATGGTGCATATCTCCAAGCTGCATTTTGTTCCTTATTCTTTCAGTTCAGCCTTTTCTTCCAGACAGAGAGAACGATCAGGAGCAACAGGATAACCCCCCCCCCATTATAACAGTGAATATAATAGAAGAGGAACAATAGTGAATGCTAGTGCAGGGCATCTGCTCAAGCCTCAAATTCAAATATTATTAAAATATTGTTTGAGGCTTCAAAACGGGAACTGGCAAACTCTGGAATTTTTGTTTGTACCTCTCTTACTTCTCCCTGTGCTTCAGTCATCAGTATCAACTTGACAGATAACTACATATTGTGCAGAAAAGATCACCACAGACTTCCATGATCTTATTTTTAAAAACAGCTGGGGGGTTTAACCAGAAAAGTGGTATCTCTCTCTCTCTCTGTGGCCATACCTTGCTCACTCCCACTCTAAAATCATAACTAAGCCCAGCTGCTTCTCCTACTGTGAGGCTTAAAATATAGATAGGTTTAACCCACCTTTTTGAATCCTAGAGAGGGCAGGGAGGAGGGCAAAAAGAGTTGAACCTGGAAGGCAATTTAAAGCAGAGGATGGGTTAAGGATCTCTGTTCCCCTGTTGTTTTCCTGTTCTGAATTCTGGGGAGGTAGATACATTAGTCTTTAAGTCCAAAACAAGTGAGAATCTTATGGCATCTTGTGAATAAAGGCCCACTGCAAGAGATACATGAACTGTGTTAACAGACAAATGGTTCCCTCCTCTATGGATGTCAAATTAGTTTAGCAAATCCAGGAAGATTTTGTCCTCAGTCATAACTGCTGTTTTGAATGGTCACTGTTTGTTTGTTTTTTATCTTGCATACATGAAAGCTTTGCATAGAAATGTCAGATTCTGGCTGCAGTCCTAAAAACACTTTGTTGGGATAAGTCCCACTGAATAAAACAGGACTTACTTCTAAGGAGACTTGCTTTGGATTGCTCATTCTACCTTTTTCATTTCATTGGCTTTTAACTGCATTGTTTACAGTTCCTCCCCCCTCTATGCCAGGTGTGTTAATGCATCTGCCAGCTTAGGACATTTCATGCATCTGCTTAAGTAGTCACTAGCTCCTGATAACTTGCTTCATAATAAATCATTTTTGTTTTTAGTACTTGGCATATCACAGTGTGATGCTTGAAAGTTAATGGTTGACTCTTGTTGATCTGGTTTTTCTCTCTCTCAGAGCCCATGTCTTGTCCCACAATCAGCAGTCCCTCAACAGAAGTTGCCATAGGCGAGAATGTGACACTGAAGTGCTCCTCGGAAACAGGTTCTCTGCCAATTAACTACACACTATATAAAGGAATAGACAGAGTGCTACCTCCTGCAAGCAAGAACAAAAAGGGAGAAGAGGCTGCATTTCACTTCACTATCAATTCAATCAGTGAACTGGGTGAATATAAATGCAAAGCTGAAAACAAATTTAATAAAAATAAATACAGCCTTGGTTTCAACTTCACACTGAGAGGTACGTGTGTATTTTCTAGACACAAATTTCCAATTGCATGGTCTGATCTTGAGACATGCCTTTTCACAGGGACAGTTCAGCCATTATGGGCACTGGGGAAAGTCCCACTGGGGCAATGGCCTGGGGGTTACCACACACAAGGAAAGGACTCGCTCATCTCACACTCAGGGCCTTTGGCACAGCTGCCGTCACTAGCCAGCCCTCCCTCCATGGGGAGATCATGCCAGGGAGGAGAGCGACCCTTTTCCTGGGTAATGTTTTATCCTGCTAGGGGTGTGTATTTGGATACTGCCAACCTGATAACATGCTTGATATTTGTGGTATCAGGTCAGGGTCAGCAATATCCAGTGCCACTGATGTCTTCCCAACACATCTCCCAAATCAGACATTGTCACCCCTGATAACTCTGGATTCAAGAATCCTATTGGGAGTGCAGGTGCTCTCTCAGCTTCATCCATGAAAGCCCCTCCTGTCAAGTCATGGTAGATGAATGGGACCTTCCTGTTCATTACATATCCCGTGAACCAAACAGAATATATTTTGTAAACATTCAAATACTGCACTTTAATTGTGCAGAAAGTGACACACACGTAACATCCCTTCTGTAGACATACAAATGCTGAGGGTTGGCAACATTTGCATATTAATAATCGGAGTACTATTTTTCTGTCAGCATATCGCAATGTGATGTTTAAAAATTAATGGTGGACTCCTGGTGATGTGCCTTTTTTGCTCAGAGCCTGTGTCTCAACCCATGGTCAACTGTTCCTCAACAGAAGTTCGTATAGGTGAGAATGTGACGCTGTCTTGCTTCTCAAGGACTGGTTCTCTGCCCATTACATACACGCTATATAGAGGAAAAGAGAGAGTGCAACCTCCTGCAAGCAAGAACAAGAGCGGAGAAGCAGCTGAGTTTCACTTCCCTATCAATTCAATCAGTGGACTGGGTGAATATAAATGCAAAGCTGAAAATTTTAGTAAAGGAAAATATAGCCTTGGCTTCAACTTTACCATGAGAGGTATGTATGGATTTTCAGCAGCAAGAGGAGAGATCCCAGTTTTCGTTTCTGATCTTGAGAAGCACTAGTTATGTGTTCTCACTGATGGACACAAGACCCTGACAAGTTGGGTATTAATCACTTGTAATAATCCAGCAAGGGAGATCCAAAATGTGCAGCATTTTGAACATATAAATTTGCCTTATATTGAGGCACACCATAGGTCCATCTAGTCCTTTAGGGTTAACTCTATCAGTATCTGTCCAAGGATTCCCAGTAGGGCTATGGAAAGTTGTCTTTGCGGCCTTTTACTGGAGATGCCAGTACTGAAATGGGGATTTTCTGCATTCATGTTCTCGGCCACCAGAGTTCCCTCTAAGCTGAGTTAGTGTGAGCTAGCTCACAGTTTCTCAGCCTCCGGCTCACACATTTTTGTCTTAGCTCAGGAAGGATGGCTCTAGAGCAAACTAATTTATGCAGCAGCCAAATCACTCGCTCACAAGTGTAATGCCAGTAGCTCACAAAGTAGAATTTTTGCTCACAGGACACAGCTTAGAGGGAGCATTGTCTGCCACTAAACTTTAGTATCCTTCTACCGTCCTAGGTGGGTGGAGTAGGGACACATCTGGACATCTGTCTATGTCATGATACCTACCGGAGCCCTTTTGAGCTGCTTGGCTGCACCTTTTGGTGTAAATGGGATCATGTACATCTGAAGTCTCTAGTTATTACATGGGAATATATGCATACAACTAACTACAACTGGATTAGGGTCAGAATCTGTGTTTGTTATGTAGTTTTCTTAAATGAGGCCCAAAGACAAAAAATGGAAATGTACCAAAAGAAGGAAATGTTACCTTAAACTTTGAAGCAAAATATAGACTCAGTAACATTAATTTAAAAGCACATCTAGTTATTGGTGATTACATCTGATTAAAAGACATTGTTCTTTTAAGTAAAATGAAAGAAAGAACATTGTATTGGAAAAGGAAACACTACCATGCCTAATCATTACACCTTTCTATCAGCAGGAGAGGACAACAATTTAGCTGTGTTCGTTGTGCCACCTCTGCTATTGCTGCTGTTGGCAGTAGTTTTAGCAGTTCCATTGCTTATCCTTCCCAGGTGTAAAACAAGTAAGTTTACCTTTGCCTACCAATACTTTCCCCCCAAACCACCAATACTTTTTTCCAAACCATGTGTACCCTAGAACTTGAAAACAGAAAATCATTTTGCTTCCAGCTTGCCAACTAAACATGAGCCTTTCCATATATACCATTATGCTGGCTGGAAAAAAACTATTTATTCCCTGTGTTGTGTAAAAACCATTTACTAGTATGCTGGAAGTACAAATGCTTAAAACTAGGGGGAAGGTCCCAAAAGGGATCATGGAGGAGGAAGGAAACAGGCAGATCCCCCCCCCATTTTCCCTCTCCTGAAGAGTATTCAACTACCAAATTTGGTGTTGGAAGGAACAAACTGGAGGCCTGCAAATAGACTGGCAAGAAAGGAAATAATTTGGAGAGCTTCAGTTGGCCAGTTTCCCATATGATTCCCCATCTGCCTTTAACTGACTTCCACCTGTTCTCTGTATCCACTTCTTTCTAGAACATGCTCATTCCTCATCGGGCTGTTTTAGGAGGCTCCCCCACCCTTTGATTAATTTACAGTCATATTTTCTGCATGACTCCGAAGTCCCACAAATATGTGGAATCCTCTGCCTTGTCTGCAGGGTGGAGTGAGCTATAATGATATAGACATAATGATGTTATAGACTGAACATTAGATACAGTTAAGAATATTTGCATTGACATTGTGTTAGGTCCAGTGAGAAAAGTGACTCAGAGACATATGATTCTTTATTATCACATGGGCAGACCATTACCAGACCATATTCCTCTTTTCCCAATGATGTAGAGAGTATTAAAATTGAGACCAAAAATTCTAGGGACATGTTGAGTTCATTGCCAACTAGAATTAATGTAAAGTCCCCACAGTGAGATCACCAAAAATATATATCCTTGTTACAATCCACCACCCTGGCCACAATATCTAAAACTACTTCATGAAGATTCTAGGGATATGGAGCAAACACATACATACTGGCAACATGATAGTAGAAATCCCAACAGAAAGGACATTTAGCTGTTATAGGTAGAACTAGAAGCAGTGACTGCTTGTTAGAAAACATAGAAGGAAATCTAGTTATGGATTTCCATTCCAATAACAACCTAAAGGCATCTAAGCATCTATAGCTGAGACGTTTAGCCCACATCTTTTTAATTCACTTGGGTAGCCATCACAAACCGGAATAACGGGGGGCATTTCTGTATGGGGTTTTGTTCTTGGGTTCTGGTCCATATCACTTTAGTTTATCCTCTGATTTCTACATGTGTTTTTGTGCCTTTAGCTTTTTCTCCCCCCCCCCCCCCCCCC